TAGTAATACCACTCTCTGAATTACTATAGCTTTGTAATACAGTTTTGAAATCAAGATGTGTGAGATCTCTGACTTTGTTGTTTTCTTCAAGGTTCTTGTGTTATTTGGGGTCTCTTGAAGATTTTCTATGAATTTTAGGATGGAATTTGCTATTTCTGAAAAAAAATGTGTTTTTTTGCTATGTACACGTTGCACTGAATCTGTAGATTGCTTTGAATAGTATTGATATCTTAATACGAAGTCTTCTAGTCCATGAACATTGGATGTCTTTCCATTTTTTCATCCCTCCTTTGGTTTTTCAGCAACATTTTGAAGTTTTCAGCATACAAGTCTTTCAGCTCGTTGGTTAAGTTTATTCCTAAGTATTTTATTTTATTGATGCTATTTCCATTTTGGATTGTTCATTTTGTATAGAAACACAGTCAATTTTTTTGTGTGTTTTGTATCGTGCAACTTTGCTGTATTGGTTTATTAGTTTTAATAACTTTTTGGTGGAATCTTTAGGGTTTTCTACATGTAAGATCATGTCACCTGCAAACAGAGGTAATGTTACTTCTTTTCTTTTGGATGCTTTTTTATTTTTCTTGCCTAATTGTTTTGGTTAGATATTCCAATACTATGTTGAAGAGAGGCAGTGAATGTGGGCACCTTGTCTCATTTCTGATCTCATGAAAAGCTTTTAGTCTTTTACCCTTGAGTATGATATTAGTTGTGGGTTTTTCATATGTGGCCTTTATTATGTTGATGTATTTTTCCTGTATTAGTTTGTTGAATGTTTTTATCATGAAATTACATTGAATTTTATTAAATGCCTTTTTTGATATCAATTGAGATGGTCATGTGGGTTTTCTCCTTCCTTTTTTTAATGGATTTGTTAACATTGGTTTTTAAATGTTGAGCCATCCTTGCATTTCAGGATAAAATCCTACTTGGTCATGGCATATAATTCTTTTAATATGCTGTTAAGTTTGCTTACATTTTGTCACAGATTATTGCAGCATGATATTCATAGGGGATATTAATCTGTAATTTTCTTTTCTCATGAGGTCTTTGTCAGGCTTTTGTATCAAAGTGATGCTGACCTTATGGAATGAGTTGAAAAGTATTTCTTCAATTATTTGTAGTACTTTGAGGAAGCTTGGTCCTAATTCTTTAAATATTTGCTAGCATTGAGCAGTGAAGCTGTCTGGTTCAGAGCTTTTCTTTGTTAGAGGTTGTCAGTTACTGATTCAGTCTCCTCCTTAGGTGAAGGTCTATTCAGATTTTCTGTTTCTTTATAATTAAGTTCCTGGTAAATTGCGTATTTCCAGAAATTTGACCCTTCCACCTAAGTTATCCAGTGTGTTGGAAAAGTTATTTTTAGAAGTGCATTTTCCAAGTGATAATTAGTGGAAGGTACAAGATATACTGCAGTATTACAGCTTAAGATAATTATGGATGTTTACATCATTTGCTTGTGATTATCCCAGTAACCCTATGAGTAAATTGTAGAGTCATTAGTCCCATTTTACAGATGAAAAAGCTGAGGTCCAAGATGCATAGGCAAAATAGTTGTACAAACTACAGAATTTAAAACGTAACAAATCTTGATAGAAATTTCATGAAGAAAATATAACAATAATAATAGTGTTTTTTTGAGATGGAATCTCTACTCAGGCTGGAGTACAGTGGCGTGGTCTTGGCTCACTGCAACCTCTGCCTCCCAGGTGCAAGTGATTCTTCTGCCTCAGCCTCCGGAGTAGCTGGGATTACAGGCACATGCCACCGTACTCAGCTAATTTTTGCATTTTGTGTAGAGATGGGGTTTCACCATGTTGGCCAGGCTGATCTCGAACTTCTGACCTCAGGTGATCCACCTGCCTCGGCCTCCCCAAGTGCTGGGATTACAGACATGGGCTACCATGCCCAGCCAATAATTCCTTTTTTTTTTTTTTTTTTTTTTTTAGTAGAGATGGGGTTTTGCCATGTGAGCTAGGGTGAGTGTCAATCTCCTGACTTTGTGATCTGCCTGCCTCGGCCTCCCAAGGTGCTGGGATTACAGGTGTGAGCCACCGCACCAAGCTGCCAATCATTCTCAAAAGTAGAGGTGTATATTGGAATTTGGGGAGTGTGAGTTTTTTTTTTTTTTTAATTATCAAGGAACAGGTTTTTAAATAATTTGAAAAATATCACATGACATCATCTTTCATTCTTGATCTTCATTATCTTTAGCCATCCAAAAAGACTAAGTAATCTTTTATCCAAGAAATCAGTCAAGTAAAGTAGTACACTATAGAAAATTACCATATAAAGTAACTAATTTGGATAAAAAAGGTAGATCTTCAACTTACATGTCCCAAACAATACATTCCCTTTAATAAATGTTTTTCAAATCCCAAAACTGCAGATGTTTTAGATGTCTGAGGATTGTCTATATTTTTAGCTAAAACTCTAAGATCACATTTTAAAGCTCTGAAAATTTGAGGCTTGTTTTTATTTATTTTTTGTGGAGATGGAATTTTACTCTGTTGTCCAGGCTGGAGTGTGGTGGAGTGATCTCAGCTCACTGCAGCCTCTGCCTCCCAGGTTCAGGCAGTTCTCCTGTCTCAGACTCCCAAGTAGATGGGATTACAGACATGCACCACCACGCCTGGCTAATTTTTCTGTATTTTAAGTAGAGATGGATTTCAGCATATTGGCCAGGCTGGTCTCAGACTCCTGACCTCAAGTGATCTGCCCGCATCAACCTCTCAAAGTGCTGAGATTTACAGGGCCTTCTTGCCTGGCCTGAGTTTTTTTATTTGCCTTATTTGACCAGGGGTATTGCCCTTTGCCTAGCTTTATTTAGCTATTAGTGTTAATTTTTAGCTTCTTATTTTTCAGTTTACCTGTGGCTTATGTATTACAGTTTAGAACACCAAAGAAATATTTACTAAGCTGTTTATTTTTCAGGTTCCTAGAAGCCAAACCAAACTGGCAATAATGCTTGAAAAATTAGGAATGGATTATGATGGGCGGCCTCACTGTGGTCTTGATGACTCTAAGAACATCGCCCGAATAGCAGTTCGAATGCTTCAGGATGGATGTGAACTCCGAATCAATGAGAAAATACATGCAGGGCAGCTAATGAGTGTGTCCTCCTCCTCACCAATAGAGGGCACTCCACCTCCACAAATGCCGCATTTTAGAAAGTAACAACAGTTTTGTCCGTGGGTCATTCCAATTGAAGTTGCTATGAAGAGGCAGCAGATGAATACTCATTGAATTAGTCCTGTAGTGCAAACTTTAAGCACCTTAAAACATTTAAAATCTTATTACAGGCGATAGAGATATATGTATGTGAACATGTTTTGTGGGAGGGCATACTGAATTCTTTGTCACCAGCACTTTTGATATGAGCAGTATTTGTTACCCAGTAACAGTTCCTGCTTAGAACTGAATTTTATAATTTAAGGTATTCAAGATGTATTCTCTTTGGTTTTAAAATACAAAATCTTATTGGCCGTTCTTTTGAATGTCATCTTACTGGTGTTAAAATATGGAATATATTTCTTTATTACCATCACTAGATGAAATCATAAAATGCAGAAATGATTGGAAGGTAGGTCTTATCTAGCCTTTGGATTTCAAAAATATCATAGTCCTTTTAATTTTCAAAGTTTATATGAAAAGCTCACCATGTATGCCATGAATTTCCTAAGATACTTGGCATACGTATCTGCCTGTGTTTCTTTTCAACTCATAATTGGAAGAATCGTGATAGATTATAGGGTCTGGTTAAAAATTCAATTACTAAAGAAATTGATGAAAATTCAGAAGAAAACACTAAAAGGAATATCATAAAGGCTGTAGCTCAAACTTCATAATGCATAAATAAATCACTGGGGTCTTTTTCAATTTGGTTGTTTGGTTCTCCATCCTTTTTTGACTTATATATGCCTTAATTCTTAAATCTGAGGGACCATGTTTTGAAATAGACTGAAAATTAAGGGTCACCACCTAATTTTGCATTTGTATTCAGTATTGTAAATGAGATTAATAAAATATACTTTCTACCATATATTATGGTTTTTTTATTACAAAACTTCATTGGCCACCAATGGAGTTAATACTTGTTTTTCTGATTTTACATAATGGCTGCTAAATATTGAGTAGTTCTTAACTAATTCTAGAAACTAAAATGTGCATTTTGAGTTAATAAGGTAAAACTCTTTATCTAAAGGCTAAACCCATGTATTGTCAGAATTGAATTTTTCTCCCTGTAGCTTTCAAGGGAACAATTTCATTGAATTGCTTCTTGCCTTTTACCTTTTAATAAAAATTGTGATGCTACTTTGTTTTAAAGATGTATCTATTATAACCAAATGAATTTTCTCAAAGGTTTCCAAACCTGATATATAGGTGAAAAGCAGGAAAGAGGGATGTATGCTGAGATGTTTGTGAATCCCAGATAGCACTGTATGATAAACTGTAAAGTGTTACTATAAGTCTTAAAGAATTTCCTACAAATCCTTTACTGTGCCAGGGCAAAGGACAAAGGAGTGGAAAATAGCAAATCACAGATGGCTGGAGATCTAGACACATTCTTTAGGTGATTTTTTTCTGTATAACCACCCTACTGTGGGATTCAAATCCATGCTCTAGCAGAACTATAATTGCCTCTCATGTACTTCCAGAGTTGCACATGAATAGCTGAAACTGCAATTGGAAAATCTGAAGATGGCAAGGAAATTACTACATTGGCATTTTTTTTTTAGGTCTATCTGCTGATTTTTTTGCCTGTTTTTATTTTTGCCAAATACCAACAAGTTCATGTACTTCTTTAAGACCTTCAACATTATAAGCTCTCAGTACCTTATTGCTGTTGTTGTTTGACACAGTTTTTGCTCATCTGTCAAACTGGAGTGCTGTAGTGCGATCTTGGCTCACTGCAACCTCTGCCTCCTGGGCTCAGGCGATCCTCTTGCCTCAGCCTCCTGAGTAGCTGGAATTATAGGCGCAAGCCAGCAAATTTTTGTATTTTTAATAGAGATGGGATTTCACTACGTTGGCCAGGCTGATCTCAAACTCCTGACCTCAAGTGATTTGCCTGTTTCTACCTCCCAAAGTGCTTAGGTTACAGACATGAGCCACTGTGCCTGGCCTTGGTACCCTTTTGGCTCAACCATAGATTTTACTGTCTTAACCCATTTTAATTACTCTTTTGAGTCTCTGTCCTCCCTTCCAATTTGATTAGGGATTTTGCTGATGAGATGATATTAAACATCAAGAGTACTACTTTTTACTCTGACTTTTTTGTGCTGTCTTTAATAGGCAAATAGTATAATTTTTTTTTTTTACAAGGAAACACATGAGATGGATGTCTTTCTTGTTACTTCTTAATAGTTACTTAGTATTTACAAGCAATCCTTGTTTTCTTAATTGTTAGCTATGTTAATTTTTATTCTATGCTTCACTTATTCTGACATTGACGTGTAGGTTTCTGCTGATTTTTTTCAAATCCACAATCTTTATAACAAACTGAAGTGTATAATAGAGCGCTATATTTTGTTTTTATTTGTTTGTGTTCTTTTGGATCAAATATTTTTTCATTTGCTCTGAAAAAATGTTTATGTGATTTGTCTTTTTTGCCTTGAGATAGATCTGTTTATCCTGCCTCCTAGGGACAAGTTTCTGCCTGGATTGAAACAGAAAAAAACCACAGGAGTCACAAGTATGTTACCTATTAAAAGAGAGAGGGTATCTCTGAAGACTAATTAAAATGGTAATTTTTTAAAAGATGGGAGAAGTTGACTTTTAGTATATCACCCCAAGTATTCTCACCAAAATGATAATGCAAAACAGAGTAATTTGGAGACCAGGAGAAAAGCGAGTAGTAGGAGAGGGGAAGAAGCATGTGTGATCAGGATAAATAATGCTTATTTGTCCTCAGCTGTAGGTAGAGGCGCCCTCACAGATGAGCACGAACGGGTGTACTGTACTTTGAAGGAAGGCTTGCCATTTCTAAGGTACCATGGAGAAGTGTAAGAGAGCAAAACTGTCACTTCTGAATCTTTGATTCCAGCAGCAAAAATGTTTTGCACATAGTCGAATACAGTGTTGATAAATGGAGGACAGCATTAAATCATTTTTCTGTTAACAGTTTCCTCTTTCTTCTGCACCACCAACCTGTGTTTCAAGCCTCTCTGTTCCACAAAGCTTCCAAAGCCCACAAATTTGTTAATCTAGAGCAGGGATCAGCAGACCACCACCCATGTGCCAAATCTGGCCTGCTACCTATTTTTGTATGGCCTACTAAGTTTGGTTTTTATATTTTTAATGGTTTTAAATATTTTGTATAATATAAAAATTACATGAAATTAAACTTTAGTTTCTCTAAATAAAGTTTTGGAAAGAGCTCCCATTCTCATTTGTTTTCATGTCATCTCTGACCACTTTTGTGCATCAGAGTTGAATAGCTGCATCAGTGGTACCATTTGGCCAGCAAGGCCAAAACTATTACTGTCTGGCCCTTTATGGAGAAAGTTTGCCTACCCCTTACCTCCTTTATCTAATGCAATATATAAGTTCCATCAACAAACAAGAAATTGACTTGGTAACATGAGAACCTAGAGCTGAATGTTGAGGTACAGTAATGATACTTGCTCCAAACATTTATTGAGCACTGCTAAGGTACTTTACTCCATTGTTTATAAAGAATCCAGTGAGGGAGAGAGGCATTATTTCCAATGTACAGATGGGAAAATTGAGGTACAGAGTGGTTAACTTGCCCAAGTTTAAGTAGTGGTTGCTGCAGACTCTGGCTGTCTGACTTGAGCCACTGCCCTTTACACTTGTGCTTTGCTGCCTCCCCTTGTGGACTTTGGCTTGACCTGATATTTCAGAAACAATTAGGTTGTCCTGGGTAGAATAAACATCTTCCTCCTCCAGTTTAAATTAGACATTTTCAATGCGATTGTACTAAATGTTGCAAATCAGGAGCTAATTTGATGTTCATTCTTTGAATGAAGCATATAAAATACTGTTAACTTCTAATTTAACCAGCTCTAAGGTGTTTTGGAGATGGGGATAAGTGGAGAAGGAGAAGGATTTCTGCTTTAAAATTTCCCCCGTGTTCTCGAGAGTTTATAATGACACAGAGGCTAAAGGGCTTAACCTTGACGGATTGAGAGGTGAAAGTAACTTTCTGGATTTCTTACCAAGTCTGGTATAAAGGGGTGATTCTTGAAGCTTTAAACTAGATCTGCTTTTCTACTTGCAAATGGGTGTTCACAAGATAAATTTCATTAGATTATTTTAGGGTGAATACTTCTCAATCATTGAGGAGCCACAAGGCATGCCTCATTTTATTGCATTTCTCTGTATTGTGCTTTGCAGATACTAATTTTGTTTTCTTTTTTTTTTTTTTTTTTTTTNTTTTTTTTAACAGATGGAAGGTTTGTGTTAGTCCTGCATGGAGAAAGTCATTTTCCCAACATCATGTACTCACTTTGTGTCTCTCACATTTTGGTAATTCTCCCTATATTTCAAACTTTTTGATTATTATTATCTTTCTTATGGTGACTTATAATCAGTGACCTTTGATGTTACTATCATGATTGTTTTGGGGCACCACAAAGCACACCCATGTAAGACAGTGAACATAATTGATAAATGTCTGTGTTTTCCCCATCTCTCCCTCTCGATGCCTTCCTATTCCCTGAGGCACAATATTGAAATTAGGCCAGTAATAAGCCTACAGTGGCCTCTGCGTGTTCAAGTGACAGGAAGAGTCACATGTCTTTAACTTTAAATAAAAGACTAGAAATTATTAAGCATAGTGAGGAAGGCATGCCAAAAGCTAAGACGGGCTGAAAGCTATGCCTCTTGATCCAAATTAGTTAGCTAAGTTGTAAATCCAAAAGAAAAGTTAGTGAAGGAAATTAAAAGTGCTACTCCAGTGAGCACACAAGTGATAAGAAAGCAAAACAGCCTTATTACTGATACGGAGAAAGTTTTAGTGGCTTGGATAAAAAATCAAACCACCACGTTTGCTTAAGCCAAAGCCTAATCTAGAGCAAGACTGTAACTGTCTCATATTCTGTGAAGATTGAGGGAGGTGAGAAAGCTACAGAAGAAAAGTTGAAAGCCAGCAGAGATTGGTTCATGAAATTTAAGGGAAGAAGCTGTCTCCATAAAATAAAAGTGCAAGGTGACGCAGCAAGTACTGATGTAGAAGTTGTAGTAAGTTATCTGGAAGATCTAGCTAAGGTAATTAATGAAGGTGGCCACACCAGACAACAGGTTTTCAATGTACATGAAATAGCCTTCTATTAGAAGAAGATAACATCTAGGACTTTCTTAGACAGAAGTCAATGCTTGGCTTCAAAGCGTCAAAGGCAGGCCGATTATTGTTAGGGGCTAATGCAGCTGGTGACTTCAAGATGAAGCCGGTGATCATTAACCATTCTAAAAATCCTAGGGCCCTTTTGCTGAATCTATCCTATCTGTGCTCTGAAAAGGGAACAGCAAAGCCTGAATGACAGTACATCTGTTTACAACATCATTTACTGAATATTTGAAGCCTGCTGTTGGGACTTAATGCTCAGAAAAAGAAAATCTTTTCAAAATACGAATACTCATTGACAATGCATCTGGTCACCTAGGAGCTCTGATGGAGTTGTATAAGGAGAGTAATGTTGGTTTTAATGCCTGCACATCCAATACTCATTCTACAACCCATGATTAAGGAGTAGTTCTTGCTTTCAAATCTTATTCAATAAATAACATTTCATAAGGCTGTAGTGATTCCTAGAAGTAGTGATTCCTCTGATGGATCTCGGCAAAGTCAGTTGAAAACTTTCTGGAAAGGATTCACCATTCTGAATGCCATTGCAAGCATTTGTGATTCATGAGAGAAGGTAAAAACATCAACATTTACAGAAATTTGCAAGAAGTTGATTTTAGTCCTCATGGATGACTTTTAGGGGCCTAAGACTTAAGTGGAGGAAGTCATTGCTGATGTGGTGGAAAGAGCAAGAGAACTAGAAGTGAAGATGTGACTGAATTGCTGCAACCTCATGATAAAACTTGATGGAGGAGGAATTGCTTCTTATAAAAGCAAAGAAAGTAATTTCTTGAGAGGGAAACTATTCCTGGTGAAGATGCTGTGAACATTCTTGAAATGACAGCAAAGGATTTAGAATATTAGATAAGCTTAATTGATAAACCAGTGGCAGGGGTTGAGAGGACTGAGACTAACTTTGAAAGAAGTTCTACCGTGGATAGAATGCTGCCAAACAGCATGATAAAGAGAAATCTTTTGTGAAGGCAAGTATCAGTTGTTGGAGCAAACTTCATTGTTGCCTCATTTTGAGAAACTGCCACAGCCACTCCAGTCTTCATCAGCTACCACCCAGATCACTCAGCAGCCCTCAACATTGAGGCAAGATCTTATATCAGCAAAAAGATTATGACTTGCTGAGCACTCGTGATTGTTGGCTTTTTTTAGAAATTTAATTTTTAAAGTATATATTTTTAGACATAATGCTTTTGCACACTTCATAGACTATTGTTTAAACATAACTTTTATATGCACCGGGGAGCCAAAACATTTGTGTGAGTTGCTTTATTGTGATACTCCCTTTATTGCAGTGGTCTGGAACTGAACCTGCAGTATCTCTGAGGTATGCCTGTATATAGTGTGATCACGAACAAGTTTAGAATACAAGTCCTTTTTTTTTCCTATTTAATAGAGCAAAAGGACAAAACAGGAGAAAGTTTATGATTTTCTGCTTGCTAGTGCAGTGTGACACACCATCACTAGTGATGCCAGATTAATGGAAGGCAGAGGTTGAGCCTTCCCCTTCAAGTGTCCATTCTTGCTTGCCCACTCTGCACGTTTGAACATAGACCTGTTTTCCCACTGGATTTATTTTTCTCAGTGGGACCGTGATTATCACAGTCACATGTGATTGAAACCATGAAACTCATGGTCCCTCCTTCCCCCTTTTAGTAATATCCTTTATTTTCCAGTTACTTTATCCTCACCCCAGCCTCTGCTCCCATCATAGCTATGCAGACTATTGCTAAAATTTAACCGACTTCTCTCTTGCTGTCTCTTAAAAAACCTTCCTAAAATGTTGTTTTGCACACTGATCTCAGAAACTCACATTTCTCATGGGATAAAACTCAGCTCTCTGTTGGCATATAAGACCCATTACAGTCTGATTTCTATCTTCCAATTTTTATAGTAGCCATCTGCTCTGGGGTAATAGTTAACTTTCCTCACTGTCATTACTCGCATTGCGTCACATATGCACTGTCTTACTTCTGACCCCAGGAAGTTAGCCCATCAGTCTTACTCCCTTGATTCTGTTTTGTTAAAGACCTGTTGTGATTTCAGCCTTTTCCTTCCAAGATGACCCGGACCTTTGGCAACAACTCCCTCTATTGGTTCATTGCACTTTTGTTATACTCACTGGGCCCTTCATTTGTGCTGCAGAGATTCACATTTACTGTGTTGTTTTTCTGTTTCCCCAACAAGAGTAAATTATTCAGGCACAGGTTCTTACATGTATCCCAAGAACCTAAGACACAATGGATGCTTAGTTAAAAATAATTAGTGCTGGTAAAATATGTCCTCTAAGGTTAGTTCCTGTTCTGAAATTGCAAAAGATAGCTTAAGTTCTGACTGCTATGATGAGTGAGTTGCTGCTTTGGAAGAGTTACAGATATGAGCCATTTCCTTTTCTGTGACTGTGCACCATAAATAAATCTTTAGAGGCTCTGCCTCAAGAGTAGAAATGTTTAATCCCTGTCTATGCTTGACTTTCCCTCTAGGTGCCAGGAAAAGCAAACAGATGTTAAGCTGGCCTTCCTGGTAGTTCAGTCTGTATGTTGCGGATTAAAAAAAAAAAAATCTGCTGTAAGTATCTTTGGCCTTGAAAAAGGTCATTGCTTGCCTTTCTTCTGTGTTGAGCAGTGATTTTTCAAACTCTTTTGCACAAACTCCCTAATACTTAAAAAAAAATTGTTTGAAAAGGAAACTGAATCTATTTGCGCATTTAAAGCTGTTCCTAAGTTTAAATATTGGCAAAAGATATAATATCCAGCATAGTATAAATACTGGTATTTTAAAACAAAACATACTTCATTATATAATTGGTGTAGTCTACATACCATAGAAATTTAGTACCATTATCTATATGGAAAATACATGAAGGTTTTTAAAATCCCTTTTTCTCCTTGAACTTGTATTTTTGTTGCAATTCTCCGACAAAATTTTATTCTAATGTAATACAGTAGTCCCCTGTTATCCTTGGTTTCAGTTATCCAAAGTGCAGTAACAATAATGTATTTTGAGAGAGAGATCACATTCATAGTTTTATTGCCGTGTATTGTTATAACTTCTATTTTTATTAGTTTTTGCTGTTAATCTCTTACCGTTCCTGATTTATAAACTTTATCATAGATAAGTATAGGAAAAAACATCAGGTTTGGTATTATCCGTGGTTTCTGGCATCCTGGGGGTCTTGGAAAGTATTCCCTGTGGATAAGGGTGTACTACTGTACAGCAAAACTGCACCACAGTGCCTAGGTAGGACCTCCAAAAATTGAGTTGCGAAAATGTGGTGTCATATTATTGGAAGAAAATGAAACAAATATTTTAGTTTGTACTGTTGTACAAAGATACAGAAGTAAAGATGGTGAAACTTACTGTTTCACCATCACTAACTGACCGTTCACTAAATTTAGAAAGTCCTCGTGGTGACATGGCAGTCACTCCGGCTGCCACCATCACCACCTGCCATCCTCAGAGTAGCTTACAGCTTTCAGCTCCTGTGTTTGAGCACAGGCTCTGGGCTGGAGTATAGGAACCAATTTCACTACACCCAGTTTCATCTTGTAGCTTGTTGTCATCAGGTTTTACTCTATATTTTTATGCCTGAAAGTCATTGATCATATTATCATACATCTTTACAACAAATGTATATACATTTAAAATAATTGGCTGAGCGTAGTGGCACACAACTGTAATGCTAGGACTTTGGGAGGCTGAGGTGGGTGAATCGCTTGAGCTCAGAAGTTCAAGACCAGCTTGGGCAACATGGTGAAACCCTGTCTCTATAAAAAATAGAAAAAACCAGACCCGGTGTGGTGGCACAAGCCTGTAGTCCTAGCTACTTGGGGGGCTGAGGTAGGAGGATTGCTTGAGCCCAGGAGGTGGCGGCTACACTGAGCAGTGATCTGTTTATTTATTGTGACCCTAAGGATGTGTTAAATTTCTTCTATATTTAGTCATTTGCATAATGGATCAAGATATATTAACCTTTTTTGAGATTAGATGAAATGTAAAATTTTTAGAAATTCTTTAATGAGATAGTGTTTTTACAATTAGTTTATATATCTGGATTAATATGACACTGCTAGAATGAAAGAGAGTCCAGCATCAATTCTTTCTTTCTTTTTCATTTCTGTTTAAATACTGAAAGCCCCTACACAGAGAGGAATGGAGGTTGCTTTATCTAAAAGCCTTTTACTCAGTTCTTTTATTTCTGTGACAAAAATCGCATTGTGATGTGTCATCCGTGATGATAAATCATTCTTCAGCTGACAGCATGATTAGTATCTTGTTTATTTTTGTTGAAAACAGAATTTTGAAAGCTGCCTAACTTTTAGAAGTGTTTTTTTTTACTTAGAATTACTCATTTTCATATTTGGGGATGTAAACCTAAAGGGCTCTACCAAGACTGTAAAATGATTATTAATTGTTTACCTGTTACCCTTTAACTTAGAAAACCTTTATTTAATTCAGTATATTCATAAAGAGTTGGGAAAATCCAACTGTTGCTTTCAAAACAACTTTTTGGATATTATAATCTTGGTACAGTTAGTGCTTTAAATATGTTTTTGTTGTATGTTTCGTCAAAGCCTTGGAATACAGATTTAATCATTCAATTCATGATACATGTCCATCATATAATGAAATCAAGGAAAATATCCCATTTCATTAATCAAATTGGACTGACTTTTTCAGACAAATCCTGGCTTGAAAATTCAAGTTGTGTTAGTGTATTTTAAACTTAAAAAATCATTAAAAACCATTACAGAACACCTTTTGTAAATGATTAGTGATAAGTCAAGATTTAAAATTTCCCTTATTTGTAATTAGTCACAGTCATCTGTGGGAAGAACAAGTTATTTAGGAAGCAAATAGGCTGATAAAAGGCCAGATATTCTTTCAATAAAGGTGTGTATGTATATTGAACTAAGGTGTTTGGCTTTTGGTAGATTTGGGAATCAAAAATTACTAGTATCACATTTTTCATATGGAATGTTATCCTACTAAAAACTAACTGGCAGCTAGCTATAACCTAATTTATTTTCTGTTAATAGGTAGTAAATATTTCTCATTTCATATGATACAGTAAATTGACATTTGACTCTATTTGGAGTAAATATTTCATAGTATGATTGTGGTCAGTTTTTAAATTTTTTGTAATCAGTTTTGTCTATAGGCATGATGAATTTATTCAGTGCATTATGAAAATTCTGATAGTTCTGAAAATTATTCCAAGTACAATTAAAATATTCAGCATCACTAAACTTTTTTTGTTTTGACTATCCAAGAGTATTATTCCTTCCAGTCAATGATTGTTCTGTGGATGAGTTTTTAAATAGTTGAAAAAGTGACTTACAAGAAAAGCTGTTTGTAGCATTCAGTATTTCTTACCAATGGCTTGCTGCTTTTTGCTGGTGGAACCTCCACCAAGAGTGATTTATTTCTTGGCAGGAATCTTGGAGAGGGAAATGGCCAATTTGTTCAATAAAAATCATTACTTTCACTTTACCACATATTCACATTTTGAATATCCTAACAAGTCTCCATATATCCCCATTCCTAAATCACTCTTTACAGAAGTTTAGAACCGAGAAAGTCACAAAGCCCTAAGTCCTTAAGCTGACTTGAGGAAACTTTCTGGGTAGGAAGCTTCTGCTTTGTCCTCTGTATTCACTATCGCCGTGGGGCAGCACTGCCAAGTGAGCTGGGAAGGTGAGTGGTGTCTTTGTTTTGTAGAATGGAAGAAATAGTGTGGATGCCATGGTTTTGCTTTTGTTAGAGGAAACTGTATGAAAGCTCAGAATTACCTTAAATTCCAAATTAATTAGGCCATCCTGTGAAATTACCTTTGCTGAGGGAGCCTTTAGAAAGTTTCGGGGTACCCCCAGGGTTAGACATATCCCATATAAAGACCTTTAGTCCAAAGTGTTGAAAATTTGTTTTCATCGGTAATATTATAATGTGTGTGTGTGTGTGTGTGTGTGTGTGTGTGTGTGCGCGCGCGCACATTTGATAAGGTTCTTACTTATACTTAGGACTTCCTTAGTGAGCACTGATGAAATGAGCTTAGTCTCTTGTAGTGGAGAGTGGAACACAAACCTGCCCCTGCCTCATTAATGTCAAGAAGCCTCTCCATCAGCCCACGAGCACTGAGCCTTTTGAGTTTCCTTTGATAATGTCAGTAACACCTGGGTTGGCATTATTCTCACCTCAGTCTAGTGACTCAGTCCTGGGCCATGCTGAAATTGCATGCATACTAAGTATAGTGTAATGAGACAGTTTTCAGTGCAGACAGCTGAACCCCCAATCACTTGCTCTGCTGAGTGTTTTGACGATTACATGGCACTTCTGCTAGCTTGCCTAAAATTCCTAAAGAGTACAGTGAGGATGCAATGAGCATGACTTTCGTTCATTCTGTATGTCTGTTGAGAAAAATGTGGGAATTCCAAGCAACAACTTAGTGATGATTCAGGAAAGACAGGTAAAATAGAAAGAAACCTTAAGTTGTAAAATTTATGTTAAATCCTACATTCTGTACTATAGGCAACTTCCTTGTATTCTCCCATTTAGTGATTTGGTAGGAGAGTAGGAGGGGAAACTTAAAAATTAGGTGTATTGCAGAATACCTGTTCTTTTCATCAGCACGTGGAACATTCTCTGGGGTTGACCATATGTTAGGACAAAAAACAAGTCCCAAGAACTTTTTAAAGATCGAAATCATATCAAGCATCTTATCTAACCACAATGGAATTAAACTAGACATCAATAACAAGGAACATTAGAAACTAAACAAATACGTGGAAATTAAACAACATGCTCCTGAATGATCAACGGGGGAGAGAAGAAATTAAGAATGAGATTTAAAACTTCCTTGAAACAAATGAAACAGAAACACAATGTAGCAAAACCTATGAGACACAGCAAAAACAGTATTGAGAGGCAAGTTTACAGCAATAGGTGGTGACGTCCAAAAACTAGAGAGATTTAAATGATGGAGTTTCATTATTGTTGCTCAGGCTGTAGTGTAGTGGCATGATCTTGGCTCACTGGAACCTCCGCCTTTGGGCTCAGGCAATTCTCTTGCCTCAGCCTCTCGAGTAGCTGGGACTATGGGCATGCACCACCACGCCCGGCTAATTTTGTATTTTTAGTAGAGATGGGGTTTTGCCGTGTTGGCCAGGCTAGTCAAGAACTCCTAACCTTGGGTGATCCTCTCGCCCCAGCCTCCCGACTGCTGGGGTTACAGGCGTGAGCCACCGCGCCCAGCCAGGAGATTTTAAATAAACCGTCTAAAGAGTACCTCAAAGAACTGGGAAAGCAAGAAAAAACCCACCAGGGGGAAATAGTTTACATATAGTAGAATAAGATAAGCATTAGGAATTTCTCAAGGCCAAGAGAAATCTCTGTACAGAGAAGAAAAGGAACTTGGGGGCTGCATTGCCAGAATGCCTCACCCAGTGTATGTTTTGTATACTGTGTCCTTGGTCCTCACTTTGCAATAATTTCTCCCTGTGGCAGACAAGGTTTCATCTATCCCATCTCTGCAAAAGTTTCCTAAAATCTATTGGCCTGACCTCTCTTTTGCGTTCCAGTTTCCTGAGTAATTTCATAGGTGTCACCAGCGTTTTAAATTTTATACATTAAGAAACAAACGTGCTTATTTCCTCACCTGCTACCCTCTCTCCCGCCTCCAAAACATAGCCTATGCTTGTGTCACTCAAGTTAGGGAGCATCCTTCCATCATACGTTAATCTGGGAGTTTCCTGTTCTTTGGGGGTGATTACGAGGAGGTAGTGTCATTTGTCACATTGCAGGCATTCTGGGGCTTTATGCCCCTGGAGGAAGCCTGGATGCCACCAGCCTTTGTATCCAGAATGAAAGTTAGCTAGCAAAGCTGGAGGGAAGTGTTATGCTTTGAGGAGGTAATACAGATTGAGCATCCCTAGTCCAAGAATCAGAAACGACTCAAAATCTGAAGGTTTTTGAGTGTTGTCATGATTTCGGATTAGTGATGCTCAACGAATGAATATCAATATAATGCAAATATTCCAAGATCTGAAAAAATTCTAAATCTGAAACATTTCTTGTCCCTAGCATTTCAGAGAAGGGATGCTCAACCTGCACCTGCTTGAGTCAGCTTCCCTGCATGTTCCCATGTAGGACCGTATGTCCCCTGGCACATGCTCTGCAGTCTGCAAGGCTCCGGAGAAGAAAGGTATGGCTGCCGCTCCCTGGCAGTTGACACTTCATCTCTGCCATTGGAATACATTGTATTTGATTCTACTCTTATGTCTAAGTGCATCCCTTTAGGTTTCTAGTCTTGGAACCATGCTTGACTGTGGAAGGGTTTCACACTCTGATTTATTTTTAAGGTGTTATTTTACTTCTTCATGTATAATTGATGCAAACCATTCCTGACATAGTGTAGAGCACTTGTGTCTTCCTGAAACTCCCACCTTTAAGACAAGTGATTAGTGTGTTTTTGCGTGGCTCAGATATGTAGGTGATAGGGAGAAACCTGTGTATGGAACACCCTTCCCCAACCACTCAATTTCAAGCCTGGCTTTTGTGACACTTTTGTGACTCAATTGTGAATAATCAGAGTTGTGACTGGACTCCATCATTCTGTCTTACTTTGCACATTCTCAGACCCAAGCATGTAGGGGCCAGGCCTAGAACAAAGAGCCCAGAGGAAGCTGGGATTCTTTGGAGTTCAGGAATGTCTCTTATGGAAGATGGAGACAATCATGGAGAAATCTTTTCATCATTCATGACAGGCAAATGAGATGCAAATAGGTCTAGATTCACTTTTGGTAGTAACTGTTAAATAGATTGTTGTAGAAAATTATTCTGTATTTGGTATTTCATGGGAGGTTGGGCAATTTTGGAAGCTTTTTAAAAGTTAAGTCCAGTGACACACTATCCATAATTGTATTGTTTATTGGAGATTTTATTATTTTGTTATTTTTTATTTTTATTTTTGAGACAGAGTTTTGCTCTTGTTGCCCAGGTTAGAGTGCAGTGGCACTATCTCAGCTCACCACAGCCTCTGCCTCCCGGGTTCAAGCAATTCTCCTGCTAGCCTTCTGAGTAGCTGGGATTACAGGCATGTGCCACCATGCCCAGCTGAGTTTGTATTTTTAGTAGAGGCAGGGTTTCTCTGTGTTGGTCAGGCTGATCTCGAACCCCCGACCTCAGGTGATCCACACACCTCGTTTTCCCAGAGTACTGGGATTACAGGTGTAAGCCACTGCTCCCGGCTGGAGATTTTATTTTTATTGGAAACGGGGTCTCACTATCTTGCCTAGTCAGAACTCGAACTCCTGGGCTCAAGCCATACTCCTACCTCAGCCTCCTGAGTAGCTGGGACTACAGGCTATAATTGTATTGTTTATACTCAACAAAGAAATACTTACTGAATAATTCTAATTCAGAAAATAAGGCATAAGCTGGGAAAGATAGTTAACAATACAAAGCAAGTTTCAAAAGAGGCCTACAATGTAGCATGATGTTTAAGGCTATAAGAGATTGGAGTTGGATCTGGGTTTAAATCCTGGTTCTGAGCCTTACTGATGGTGGGACCTCAGCAAGTTACTTAACCTTTATGAGCTCCCAATTTTCCTTGCAAAACTCTTTATAGCGCTGTTGTAGGAGTTAAATAGGATATCGTCTGAATCATGCCTAGTGAATTATGGGTGATTTGGTGAGGGTATCTTAGAGTAAGATAAAACATCTTCAAAATCCATCATGGTGCAGAAGGATGGCCTTGTTAGCGTGTCATGCTGGATGCAGGGCAACAAGTCTCGAGCTCCTTAAATTTTCTGTGATTAGGGAATAAGTGATCCCAGATCCTGGAATGGTGTTGAGATTGTTAAAAGAAGGAAGGCGACTTTGGTGTGGGAATAAGGAGGATGGGAGGAACAGAAGGGAAGCCAGGGGCCAGGTCAGAAGACACACCACTGCATCAGTTAAGTAGGAGAGTTCAGGCTGGCCCCCATACAAGTAGATCTAGTTACCAAATTGCCAACTACCCATCATCAAGTGGAGATCATGGAGAAATGATTACAATGCATGATGTAGCCAAAGTACACAGAGGACAGTATAGGAACAGAAGCAAAGCTTAGTGGACCAGTGGCTCAAAGAGGGCTCCTTCGAGTGGAAACACAAGCTAAGCCTTGAAGAACAAATCAATGATGTTAGAAAGAGAAGCAAGAGTTTACCAAGCAGCAGAAACAGCATGTTGAAGAAATAAGATCACAGGAACATAAAATACGACTGGATTCTCCAAGGTGGTCTTTTACCAGTGGAGTTCTACTTTTCCTCAATGAGAACATAGAGATTCCAAACCTGTCCTTGACTGTCACCCTGACCTGCCACACCTGCATGATCTTCTTGGCTAACACTGAGCCAGATTTCACATGGTGAGAACTGTTCTGAAATCTTGTCTAAGAGTTCTGACCATGAAGCTCTTCAAATAGTAATATTAGATTAAGCACTGAGCTGGCTTCTCAGATTTCCACTAGACCGGTTCTACGGCCAGTGCTCTGTAGGGTAGGGACTTCCCCAACCCACTCTCGTATACTTGCACTGAAATGAATTGTTCACTTCAGCCGTATAGGTCTAGCCTCCACAAATAGATAGCTTAACAGGCAGGTTCTCATTAGACTCCAGTAGAAACATACATGGATACCAAAGACTTGTGTTTCAGTGGCTCTCAAGTCTACATTGACACTGGGCATAGTGGCTCATGCCTGTAATCTCAGCCACTAGGGAGGCCAAGGCAGGAGGATCACTTGAACCCAGGAATTTGAGATCAGCCCGAGTAACATAGTGAGATCCCTATTTGTATTAAAAAATAAATCTATTTATCATCAGAATCTATAGATGAATTTTTTTGTTTTTGTTTTTTTTTTGAGATGGAGTCTTGCTTTGTCACCCAGGCTGGATGGAGTACAGTGGTGTGATCTTGGCTTACTGTGACCTCCGCCTCCCAGGTTCAAGTGATTCTCCTGCCTCAGACTCCTGAGTAGCTGGGATTACAGGCAAGCACCACCATGCCCGGCTAATATTTTTCTATTTTTAGTAGAGATGGGGTTTCACCATGTTGGCCAGGCTGGCCTCAAATTCCTGACCTCAGGTGATCCACCTGCCTCAGCCTCCCAAAGTGCTGGGATTACAGGCATGAGCCACTGCACTTGGCCATATCTATAGATGAATTTTTAATACAGAGTCCCAGACCCCACTCAGAGATTCTAGGGGGTAGAGCTGGGCCTGTCTTAAAAAATTGATTAAAAAATTAAATTAAAAAAACAAATTCCCACAAGTAACTGATCCTCTGACAGATCTGGAAATGGGCTGCGGGGATACCCACTGGGCCATCAGCCATCGCCATTGGCCCTTGCTGTTGGAGTCTGACCAGTGAAGTTATTTTTCCTGAGAATCGGTTCTGAGAGGTGCTAGTCCTTCTGAGCACATCTCTTGAGTGGCAGTGATGACTCTGCCCTTTCAGTGACAGGAACATTTCTCCCTGTAGCCTGGCAGTAAGAGCCAGTTAGCAGAGAGACGTGAGGAGCACATATGCGAGGCTGCCGAGAGGAGATGAGGCAGAGAGGTCCTGACGCCTCTCCAGTTCCTGAGGCCACAACTGCACATGGCCACACTCCTCTCTTTGCTTCCATAAGATGCTCCTTTATTTCTATAACAAATTCCCCTCTCTGGCTAAGGCCATCACAAGTTGGTTTCTGTTACTTGCAATTAAAGAGCCCAGTGACTACAACTCTTACTAAAACAGCATCCCTAAAGAACAATGAAGGCACACACTTTAAACGCTAGGTATGAAATGTCAACTTTCTCCCCAAACAACTCTGGACATGGACTCTAGCTCAGGCAGGGGAAAAAAAACCACTTTCACTGTTGAGTCGTTTATGCAGCTATTAGCTTGGTACGAAAAACCTCCTCTTATGAAAAAAGAAATTAAAGATGCTAGGAGATTGGAAGAAATGAAAGGAGGCAGTGGAAGCTCCACTCTCACAAGCAGGGCCTACATTGGCCTCCCCACGGGAAGAGGAAATGCAGTCAATTTTGTGGCACAGATGAGCTCCAGGCAGGGCCAATTTCACTCATGCTGATCTCAGCCTGCACCTTCTGCCTCACCCTCCTAATCAGGCTGGGGCTGGCAGAGGTCTGTGAACTGGGCTGAGATTTTTGACCTGTTAGGTTTTAGCATACGGTGTAAACAATGAACACTGCCCAGGAAACGAATAAAGCACAGCTGTTCCCAAAAGGGAAAACAGGCAAGCTGTTCTTTCCCAGAAGGAGTACTCCTTGCCAAGCCAGCATGCCCCGAGGGTCTTCCTACACAGGGCACTTAAATACTCTCCTACTTAGGAAACATATTCCAGCCTCTAGCCACCACCCCACACCTAAAAGCCAAACAGAGACATTTATCCAGTTGGGAGACTGGGAATTTATAGCAGTGCCTTTTGGGTGGGTCAGTGAGCTCAGCTAGTGGTGGCTTATTCCACTGATCAGCCTGTAGCCAGAAGGCCACTTCGGCCAAGCAACCCTCCTCTGCTAACTCCTGTGGCCACAGCGTGGTCCCTGGGCCTAGCCAGCCACTTGGCTGGCAGTTGCCTGTCATTAGGCAATAGGAAATCGGCTGCAGCAGTTCTGAAGCAGAAAATGTCACCTGACCAGCCTGGGCAACATAGCAAGATCCCCATCTCTACAAAAAATGTTTTAAAAATTAGCCAGGCTGATTTTTACACACCTGTACTACAGGTACACACTTGTAATCCCAGCTACTCAGGAGGCTGAGGTAGTAGCATGGCTTGAGTCTGGGAGTTTGAGGCTGCACCGAACAGTGATCATTGTACCACTGCGTTTCAGCATGGGTGACACAGCAAAACCCTGTCTCAAAAAAAATCCCACCCAAATACGAAGATTGAGTCCATAATGTTGCTACATACCTGACACCATGGCCTTCAGATGATTTCCTAGGACTGTAAGGATCTGCAGAGCATCCTAGGAAAGAAGCCTGGGCGGGGTGGCTCATGCCTGTAACCCCAGCACTTTGGGACGTCAAGACAGGAGGATCCCTTGAGGCCAGGAGTTCAAGACCAGCCTGAACATAGTGAGAAGTCCCCACTTCTTCCATCTCTACACAAAAACGTGTGTGTGTGTGTGTATATATATATATATATATATAACCGAGTGTGGTGCACACCTGTAGTCCAGCTACTTGGGGGGCTAAGGGGGGAGGATTGCTTGAGCCAGGAGTTTGAGGCTGCAGTGAGCTGTGATTGCACCACTGTACTCCAGCCTGGGCAGCAGAGTGAGACGCTGTCTCTTAAAAAGAAAGAAAACAAGAATGGGGCCTGTGTCTGTCCCTACCCTCACCTTCAAACAGAGCAGCTCCGCCTTTGCCTATCTATTAATTGAGCTTCCTATCATTTTGTTTGAAGAAGGGCTTCATAATTGCTAAAGCTAATTGCTCACTCTGTGTGTTGGGGAGCATGAGTGTACACATGCCCACCAGGCACCATGCCAGGTGTTTCAGATGCCTTGGCTTGATCCCTTCAAACAAGTCCAAGGGGGGGATTCTGTTATTATGCCTACAGCACCGTTGAGGAAATGAGTCAACTATCTTGTCCAAGGTCACAAAGTCAGTAAGTAGGAAAGCCAGGAATTGAACCAGCTCCCTCACACTCTGCAGCCTTTCCTGCCATTGTCCTCTAGGAAAGGCCACAATCACCTGAGTGAAGAAAAGCAAAGCCCAGCCTTTCTCTAAAGCAACTGTTCTGAACCTTGCCTGCACACTGGAGTCACCGAGGAAGCTGCGACCAGCGTAGATGCCAGGCTGTCGCCTCTGGAGGCACTGATTTACTTCATCGATCTGAGAGCAGCTTGGGCATAGGGATTTGTGTTTTCAAAGACCGAAAATCGCTGCATTAGAGAAGCAGTGATGGGAATTCAATAATTAGAATTACATGTCAGCACTGATATGAGGGTTCAAGATAGGAATTTTCCTCCTGGCACATAACTCAATGGATGGTTGAAAAAGTGTCCTTAAGAAGAAGAAAGCCAAACTCCTCCTGCAGCTCTGGTGGAAAATGGAGAAGACTTTTTCTTTCCTCCATCTCTCCCAGAGCCTGGTGGCGTGAGACACTGCCCAGCTGTAAACTGTGCGTACCAGGCGATCACTGGTCACTTTTCTGGTGGGGCCGGCAGAGAACAGCTGATGTGTGAAGGAAGCAGGGAAGGACATGGGAAAAAGGTCCGGTAGAAATCAAGGCCCACTGTCATAATTCTGTCCTTTTTCTTTGAGACAGGGTCTTGCTCTGTTGTCCAGGCTGGAGTGCAGTGGTGCAATCAGAGTTCGCTGCAGGCTCAACCTCCTTAGTTCAGGTGATCCTCTTGTCTCAGCCTCCTGAGAAGCTGGGACCACAGGTACATGCCACCACTCCTGGCTAATTATTATCTTTTTTATTTTTAGTGGAGATGGGGTCTTGCTATGTTGCACAGGCTGCCCTTGAACTCCTGGGCTCAGAAAACCCCCTCACATTGGCCTCCCAAAGTGCTGGGATTACAGGCATGAGCACTGCACCTGACCATCATTCTGTTCATGAACCCAGTCCAGGACCAAGATAGGTAGAGGTGAGTGAGACGTAAACTCAGTCATCAACATAAATAATGTCTGAATGCCATCTTTAAAAAGGGCAGCCAGGCGCAGTGGCTCATGTCTGTAATCTCAGCACTTTGGGAGACTGAGGCGGGCAGATCACCTGAGGTCAGGAGTTCGACACCAGCCTGGCCAACATGGTGAAACCCTGTGTCTTCAAAACTAGATGGGTGTGGTGGCAGGAGCTTGTAATCCCAGCTACTAGAGAGGCTGAGGCAGGAGAATTGCTTGAACTGAGGAAGCAGAGGTTGCAGTGAGCCGAGAGTATGACACTCTACTGCAGCCTGGGGGACAGAGTGAGACTCCATCTCAAAAAA